TGTTTAACCTCTTGCATCACCAGGGAGACTCTATATGCACTATTGTTTTCATTTCCTGGAACATTGCTGTGAGATAAATAGTAGTGACCTTGTGAAAGGAGCAATTCTTGGTCCTCTCTCTACTTCTCTGAATTGGGTCCCTGCCTTCTTAGGTTGACTTGGATAGCAGCAATGTGAGGGAAGCATTCCAGATGCTCTGCCAGAAATAACTGCTGTGGCAGCCACAGGCTATTGGCTGTTAGACAGGGGTGACTTAAAACAGGTAAATGGAGATAAGTTTGCCCTCTCCCATTTTCTAAAAATAAATCCCAACTTTTTACCAAGTAACAAATCTTATTATAAATCTCTAATAATAAGACAGTGTGCTATTGACTTAGGAATAGACAAGTAGCCCAAGGGAACAGAATAGAGTACGGAAACATAGAGAATCATCTCTATGGGCATTTAATATATAACAAAGGTGACAATGCCATGCAGGGATGCTGGGTCAATTGGATTGAATGACCATGTGAAGAAAAAATAAAAGACTGTGGACTTCTGGGCCTCCCCGGCGGCGCAGTGGTTGAGCGCTGGGTTGCGAAGCTGCCCGCAGCCTCCGCAGCGCTGGTTCGATCCCCGGCTGCTCCCCGGCCACCAGAGGAGGGTCCCACACGGCGTGCAGACCTCTCCTGCCGCCCGCTGCTCCCCTCAGCGGTGTACTTTGGTCCTTCTGCCTGCTCTGCTCCCCGCTCTGGCTCTGGTGAATTCTCTCACCCTCCTGCGCTTCTAACTGTACCCAGTGTTCATATGAATAAATAAATAAAGAAATCTTAAAAAAAAAAAAAAAAAAAAAAAAAAAAAAGACTGTGGACTTCTATTTCACACTGTACAAAAATAATCACCTAAAATGGATTGAAGGGCCTCCCTGGTGGCGCAGCGGTTGAGCGCTGGGTTGCGAAGCTGCCCGCGACCTCTGTGGTGCCGGTTCGATCCCTGGCTGCTCCCCGGCCACCGGAGGAGGGTCCCGCATGGCGCGCAGACCTCTCCTGCCGCCCGCTGCTCCCCTCAGCAGTGTACTTCGGTCCTTCTGCCTGCTCTGCTCCCCGCTCTGGCTCTGGTGAATTCTCTCACCCTCCCGTGCTTCTGACTGTACCCAGTGCTTGTATAAATAAATAAATAAATAAATCAAAATAAATAAATAAATAAATAAATAAAATAAAATAAAATGGATTGAAGATCTAATGCAAATATTGAAATAATTAAACCATGATAGGATAACATATGAGAATATCATGATGATCTTTTTTTTTTTTATACTTTTCTTTTTTTTTTTTTAGATTTATTTATTTATTTATTTATTTATTTATACAAGCACTGGGTACAGTCAGAAGCGCGGCGAGGGTGAGAGAATTCACCAGAGCCAGAGCAGGGAGCAGAACGGGCAGACTGACAAAGTACACTGCTGAGGGGAGCAGCGGGCGGCAGGAGAGGTCTGCGCGCCATGTGGGACCCTCCTCCGGTGGCCGGGGAGCAGCCTGGGATCGAACCAGCGCTGCAGAGGCTGCGGGCAGCTTCGCAACCCAGCACTCAACCGCTGCGCCACCGGGGAGGCCCTATCATGATGATCTGAAGGCTTACAAAGATTTCTTTTTTTTTTTTTAAACAGTTTATTTATTTTTTTAATAGAGGCATGCTTTATTTATTTATTTGTTTGTTTGTTTACACAAGCACTGGGTACAGTCAGAAGCGCGGGAGGGTGAGAGAATTCACCAGAGCCAGAGCGGAGAGCAGAGCAGGCAGAAGGACCGAAGTACACTGCTGAGGGGAGCAGCGGGCGGCAGGAGAGGTCTGCACGCCATGTGGGACCCTCCTCCGGTGGCCGGGGAGCAGCCGGGGATCGAACCGGCGGGCGCGGGCAGCTTCGCAACCCAGCGCTCAACCGCTGCGCCACCGCGGAGGCCCTTACAAAGATTTCTTTAACAGAATCATAAAAGAAGCCATAAAAGAAAGAATGAGTAGATTGGACTACATTGGACTACATTAAAAATAAGAACTTCAAAAATAAAAGGAATCCAAATTGGAAAAGAAATAAAAATATCACTATTTATAGGTGACATAATATACACAGAAAATCCTAAAGGCTCCACCAAAAAATATTAGAATCAATAAATTAGTGTGTAAAGTGGCAGGCAACAAAATTAATATACAAAAGTGTTCCTATATGCAAAGAAAAAACTAGACAATAAATACAAGAAAACAATCCCATTTACAATTGCATAAAAAAAAATTAAGGGGCCTCCCTGGTGGCTCAAAGGGTTAAGTTGCAACCTGAAGCTATCAGCAGCCACTGTAGCACAAGTTCGATCCCCAGCCAGGAAGCTACCCATATGGTGCAGCAGACCTTTCCTGACTTGCCCGCTGCTCCCCTCAGCAGTGTATTTCAGTCAATCTGCCTGTTCTGTTCCCCACTCTGTCTCTGGTGAATCCTCTCAGCACCCCTCCTCTGGCCTATACCCCAGTTCTTGTATGCATAAATAAATAAATGTTAAAAAATTTAAGTACCTACAAATTAGCAAAGGAGGTGAATATCCTATCCAACAAAAACTATAAAAGAAATAAGACACAAAGAAATGGAAAGATTTTCAGTGTTCATGTGTTGGAAGAACTAACAGTTAATATGGCTATCTTACCCAAAACAATATACAGATTCAATGCAATCTCTATCAAAGTTCTAATAGAATTCTTTAAGAAATAGAGCAAAAATTACTGAAATTTGTGTAGAACCATGAAAGATCCTGAATAGCCAAAGCAATTCTGACAAGAAGAAAGGAGGTATTATACTCCCTGACTTCAAACTATACTACAACGCAATAGTTATCAAAACAGTATGGTATTCAAGTAAAAATAGGCATATAGACACATGAAATAGAATTGAAAGCCCAGAAACAAACCCACATTTATATGAATAGTTAATATATTACAAATGAACCAAGAACATACCCTGGATAAAGAGGTCTCTTCAACAAGAAGTGTTGGGAAAATTGGTCAGCCACATGCAAAAGAACAAAACTAAACTACTATCTCACATCATAAACAAAAATGAATTCAAAATAGATCAGAGACATAGATGTAAGACCTGAAACCATAAATACCTGGAAGAAAACATAGGTAGAAACACTACAACACACTGACTTCAGGAGTGTCTTTACAACAGCAAGGGAAATAAAAGTCAAAAAATAGGACTACATCAAATTAAAAAGCTTCTGCACAAAGAAACTATCAATGCAAAAAGATACACTACTGAACTGAAGAAGATATTTGCGTATCATACATCTGACAAGAAGCTAATATCCAAACTCTACAAAGAACTCATACAACTCAACAAAAAAATTGAATAACCCAATCAAAAAGTGGACAGAACAGCTAAGTAGATACTTCTGTGTGGAAGACATACAGATGGCCAACAGGCACATGAAAAAATGCTTGTTGTCACTATCAGGAATATGTGAACCAAAACCATAATGAAATACTACCTAAGATCTATGAGGATAACCCTTATCAAAAAAGATAAGAAGGGCCTCCCTGATGGCACAGCGGTTGGGCGCTGGGTTGCGAGGCTGCCTGCAGCCTCTGCAGCGCCGGCTCGATCCCCGGCCTTAGGGCGAGGGTCCCACATGGCGCGCAGATCTCTCCTGCCGCCTGCTGCTCCCCTCAGCAGTGTATCGTCACTCTGCCAGTTCTGTTGCCCGCTCTGGCTCTGGTGAATTCTCTCACCCTCCCGCGCTTCCGACTGTGCCCAGTGCTTGTATAAATAAATGAATAAATGTTTAAAAAAAAAAAAGATAAGAAACTAAAAGTGTTGGGGCCTCCCTCGTGACCTAGGGGTTAAATCTATCATCCCTGTGGCCTGAGTTTGATCCTGGCCAGGGAGCTAACCCACATGGCACAGCAGACCTCTCCTGTTTTGCTTGCTGATCCCCTTAGCAGTGTATTTCAGTAGATCTGCCTGCTCTCCCCAATCTGTCTCTGGTGAATCCTCTCCCCCCTGCACTTCTGGCCTGCACCCCAGTTCAATGCAAAAATAAATAAATTTTTTAAAAATCTGGAAAAAAAAGGAAGAAACTACATGTATTAGAGAGGGTGTGGAGAAGAAGGAATCTTTGAATGCTGTCAGCTTACACAGCAGCTTACACAGATTGATATGCCCTTTATATGAAAGGGAAAGATTAAAATAATTTTTCTACTATTCAGTTCTTAAAAGGAAGACAGTATAAAGAATTGCAGAATGTAAATGTTAGGAGGGTTGGAAGAAAACTAATGCTGAACTTCTTTGCAATTGATTCCTTTAATATTCTAAGGACTCATTCCTCAGAAAATTGTGTACACATGTAAATTTTTACTTGTGGGTTTGGGGTTGAAAGATCCTTTGAAATTTACTGTGGGTTCTAGATTAAGATTCTGTGATGTATATAACCTCATCAATTTAAAACATGTGTTGGGCCTCCCCAGTGGCTCAGTGGGTTGAGCACAGCACTGTGAAGCTGTCCGTAGCCGCTGCAGCGCCTGCTGTTCCATTCCCAGCCGGCCAGGGAGATACCCACATGGCACGGCAGACCTCTCCTGTCTTGCCCACTGCTCCTCTCAGCAGTGTCTTCGGTCCCTCTGCCTGTTCTGCTCCCCACTCTGTCTTTGGTGAATCCTCTCACCCTCCCGCACCTCTGGCCTATACCCCAGCTCTTGTATAAATAAATCTTAAAAAAAATAAATAAATAAAACGTATTCATGTTAAATTAATGCCAACAATATTCCCTCTCCTTTCATTGGCAGATGTTAAAGCCTAAACTGGCAAGGGAAATTGTCCATTCCTTCCCAGGAGAATGTCAGTTTGTAGTTGGGTAACCTGGGAGAAAAATGGTGAACAAATTTATTTGAAAGACTGATTTCTGTTTATTGACAAAATGGTACTATTAGAATTTATTGTATAATACTTTGATTTATTTCTCTGTTCGTTTTCTATTTAGCCCAAGAAGAAGAGGGGAAAAGTGGAAGTGAGACCCATTAATTTGGGGACCGATTATGAATATGGGGTTTTAAATGTTCACCTGACTGCATATGATATGGCCTTGGCAGAGAGTTATGCCCAGTATGTTCACAACCTCTGCAACCGTCTCTCCATTAAAGTTGAGGAAAGGTATGAAGGATGCTTTTGTACGTGTTTTTGGTGTGGGTAGCATGCTTTCTTTTTTGTTATTGTTATTAAATGAGATTTTGAGACATAATTTACATTTAGCAAAATTCACCCTTTTTAGGTATGTAGTTGCCACAAAAATAATTTCACTTGTAGGTGGAATATAGGGAATCTGAACAATGGGTGGCAGTGGGGAGACCAACTTGCAGGCAAACCATAGATCTGAGGCATTCTGGGGGGGGTGAAGTGGGGTCAAAACAGGGGAGGAAAGAACATAGGGACTATGGTGATGGTTCACAGGTGCTGTGTGGGTGGGAGAATTGGGGGACTTCACCTGAGGGGGGAAATCAAATATTGCACAAAAATGAACAACAATTTAAGAAAATGAAAAAAAAAAAAAACCAAAGTTCCATTAACCCAGAAAATTCCCTTGTGCCCGTCCGTCTCCTCTATTCTCTCAAATCCCTGGCAACCACTGATCAATTTTCTGTTATTTTAACTTCTTCAGAACATATTTTCTTTGATGGCATGTCTGTTCCATTTTTAATATTGGTTTGTCTTATTGTTGAATTATGAAAAGTTCATCGTCTGTTTTTGGATACCAGTTCTTTTTCAATTTGTATTTTGCAAACATTTTCCTCCAGTCTGTCTTACCTTTTGATCTTTTTAACCAATGTATTTTGAACAGATAGTTTTTCAGTTTGTTGAAATTCAGTTTATCAATTCCTTCTTTTATTGTTTGTGCTTTTTTGTGTCACAGCTAAGAAATCTTTGCCTTACTGAAAGTCACAAAGATACTTTCTTTTTTTACACATACTTTCTTATGTATCATGTGTAGGTTTTTTTTTTTTAAAGATTTTTATTTTTATTTATACAATAGCTGGAGTACAGGCCAGAGGTGCAGGAGGGTGAGAGGATTCACCAGAGACAGAGTGGGGAGCAGAACAGGCAGACAGACCAAAAGCACTGCTGAGGGGAGTGGCAGGCGAGACAGGAGTGGTCTGCCGGGCTATGTGGGTATCTCCCTGGCCGGCTGGGAATCGAACCCGTGCTGCAGAGGCTGTGGACAGCTCCACAGTGCTGCTCTCAACCCGCTGCGCAACTGGGGAGGCCCTAGGTTTGTTTTTTTTTTTTTGTATATGATATAAAATATGGGTCAAAGTTATTATTATATTTTTTGCCTATGCATGTTTAGTATTCCAGCCCCATTTGTTTCAAAAGATTTTCTTTCTACATTGAATTGTTTTAGTGCCTTTGTTGAAACTCAATTGACCATGTATGTGTAATCTGATTTTTCAACTGTATTTTGTTACATTGATCTGTATAATTCTGCTATACCAGTACTACACAATCTTGATTGTTGTTATTTGGTTATTAAAACTACAACTTCCTTCTTTTTTTCAATATAATTTGGCTATTCTAGGTCCTTTGGTTTTCCTTAGAAGTCCAAGGATTAATTTATCCATTAGTTTATCAGAAAGGAGCCTGATAGTATTTTGTTGCTTATTTTCTTGCTTATTCTGTTTCCTCTGATCCATTAACATGGTATATCTGCCTATTTATTTAGATATTCTTTGCCTGTTCTACTTTTTTTTTTTTTTTTTTTTTTTTTTTTATAGAGGCATGCTTTATTTATTTGTTTGCTGGTTTGTTTGTTTATACATGCACTGGGTACAGTCAGAAGCGCGGGAGGGCGAGAGAATTCACCAGAGCCAGAGCGGGGAGCAGAGCAGGCAGAAGGACCGAAGCACACTGCTGAGGGGAGCAGCGGGCGGCAGGAGAGGTTTGCGCGCCATGTGGGACCCTCCTCTGCAGAGGCCGCGCGCAGCTTCGCAACCCAGCGCTCAACCGCTGCGCCACCGGGGAGGCCCTGTTCTACTTTTCATTTACTCTTTGAATTTGTTGGAAAACTGTAAGGGAGAAGAACTAACATTTGCTGACTACTCCAGGCCAGGCACTTTACATATCTTATCTCAGTGTTTCCAAAAGTGTGGGAAGTCCTGTGGTTTGCCTTAAATAACATTAAATCACATGGTGAGAAATTTCTTACTTTTAAATTCTCAACCTAATTATGTCAAGAAGAAATTCTTGGTGTGGTGCTGGTATGTCCTTAGCAACACTCTAGCACTTCCTATTTTTATAACAGAGGAGACCTCAGGTTCAAAAGCCTTGGCAAGCAGTAGTATCTAACAGAATTTTATAACATTATTTTGTTTTCACTGTGTTTATTTCTTATTTTTATTTTTTTTAATTGAGGTAACGTTGGTTTACAACATTGTTTGTGATTTAGAGGTATAGGATCTCCCCTTCTGGTGTTGTCACCACCCCACCCCACCACTAAAGCACCCATGATCCTCACTACAATCCATTGTGCTCCCTCACTGCTTTGTTCTCACCCCCTCCTTACCTTTCTGATAGTCTCAGTTCTGCAGTCAGATTTCTCGGGTTTGTTATTGGTTTGGTTTTAACTGACCTTTGTTTTGTATCTCTATATTTGATGTATCAGTGATACCATCTGGTATTTGTCTTATCCTTCTGACTTACTTTACTTAGCACTATTCCCTCCAGTTCCATTCATGTGGCAAATGTCAAGAGTTTTTTTTTTTAATAACTGAGTAGCATTCTATTATGGGTCAACATCCTGACCCACTTATGTTTTTGATCATTTTATTTATTTTTAACTTACCTTCTATTTATGGCAACTAATACTGCTTTTCTATTTATAGCAGTAATATAAAGTCAGGCATATTGAGGTATAATTTATAGTCAATAAAATTCACCCTTTAAATAATCAGTTTTTATATGAGTTTTGACAAATACCATCATCATCCAAAAGTAAATACTGGGCCTCCCCTGGTGGCGCAGGCTGTTGAGTGCAGCGCTGTGAAGCTGTCGCAGCCTCTGCAGTGCCGGTTCCATTCCTGCCGGCTGGCAAGAATCCCACATGGTGCACGCAGACCTCTCCTGTCTCACCCGCTGCTCCCCTCAGCAGTGTATTTCAGTTGTATGCCTGTTCTGTTCCCTGCTCTGTCTCTGGTGAGTCCTCTCACCCTGCCACGCATCTGGCCTGTACCCCGGTTCTTGTATTCATGAATAAATAAATCTTTAAAAAAAAAAATACTATGAGAGTCAAGCTAGAGAATATTTCCTTCATCTCAGGATATCCTCTCCTATGTTTATGGTTTGTTCCTCCTGCACTTCCAGTCCCTGGGAGCTACTGAGCTATTTTTCATCCCTATAATTTTTCTCTTTTCTAGAATGTTATAAATGTAATCATGCAATATTTTTCCTTTTGAGACTGACTTTTTGCAGTTAGGATATTGTATTTGGGATTCATCTATATTATTGCCAATGTCAGGTAGTTTTTTTCCTTTTCATTGCTGAGGAACATCTCATTGAGTGGATGTAGCACAGTTTGTTTATCCTTTCACATCTTGAAGGACATTGTGTTATTTCCTGTTTGGAATAGTTATGAAAAAAGACACTATAAACATATACTGGTTTTTGTGAGAACAACATAAGTTTTCATTTCTCTAAGAGTGTGATCGCTGGGTCAGATATTAAGAGAAGTGTTTATTTAAATTTATAAAAAACTGCCAAATTGCTTTCCAAAGTGACTGTATCATTTTACTTTCTCACCAGTGATATGAATTCCAGTTGCTCCACATCTCAGGTTTCTTTTTAAGATTAATTTTTAAAGTGAGTTGATTTAAAGAAAAATATTTAATAAATAATAGTTTGAGTGGTTTGCTATTGTAGCAAAGTAATACACAGCACAGTATGGTCCTGTGGGGAAAACTATACTTTTTTACTCATTAGATATTAGTGTTACTAATTAGTATTTTTACTCATTAGATATTACTATTAGTATTACCATTTTACCGATGAAGAAACTAAGTCTGAGAAAGGCCAAAAGTCACAGAATCAGTAAGTTGTCTGGGTTTAACCCAGTTCTGTCTTGCTGCAGTATTTTCGGTTATAAAAAGCACCAGGCCTTATTTTATCTTTAAACCAAATTTGAACTCTTGAACTTTATAACAGAGTATTATTGTGCTAAACATGCTCTCCAGAAAAACTGTATAATAAACTATGACTGTAGCTCTCACAGCTGATAATACTTCAGATGTTTCAGACCTAAAGATGTGCTTTATCTTTTTCTGATGCCCCAGAGAGTTGGTTGCTTTTTCAGCACTTGACACATACCCTGTCATTCCAGTTAGTGCTTTGGACCATAATGATCTGTTTTATATAAGCTCCCCACCCCCCGGCCTGGATGTGTTCTGTGTTCTTTATTTCTTTAGCAGCTAGCTGAAGGCCTGCTGTAAGAGAGACATTAAGCTATGATTGAAAGAATGAGAGGTTTTGATAATGACTACACAATCCAGTTGTGCAGTGTACATTTCCTAAAATTTGATGAAAGCGTTTTTCACTGACTAATTAAAAAAAAGTATTGATTCTCTTTTTGCTGTGTGGTCTAGGCATTATGCTAGATATTGTGACTGAAGGATACTGAGGTGAATGGCCCTGCATTTAGGGAGTGTGTATATGTACATAATGTGGAAGATGATAAGTGAAAGAGAGAGTTTAAGGAGGTAGAGTAGTATAATGAAAATTAGAGCTCTGTTTCTCAAAGTACCAGGCTGTGAAGATATCAGGAACTTATACCAAAATGTACACTAATGCTTTGCTTCCTTAATCAAGAAAGTCTTGCTATTGAATGAAAAATGTTGGCTGAATTAAACGTTGTGTTTAGTAGCTGTGGCACACTTCTTGTCATTTACTAGTAATTTTTGCTCACCAGCAACTTGTCTGTGGACCACACTCTGAGTAACAAGCAGTTAAGCATACAAATTCTGGAATCACACTGTCTACTTTCAAATTCCAGTTCTAGTAGTTGTTGGCAACATGAACTTGGGAAATCCTGAATCTCTTTCCTCCTCTATAAAATGGGATGAGGGCCTCCTGGTGGCACAAGAGGTTAAGCACTGCACTGTGAAGCAATC